TTGTGATGCTTAGCAGCCCAGGTCTTAGGGCCAGAAAAACCTGATTTCAAATTCTATTTCTACTATCAGTTGGCTGGCTTTCCTAGAATACTTATATAATCTTCCTCAGAGGGTTGTCATAAGATTTCATAAGATAATCCATGTGAAATGCTTAGCAGAGCCCATGGTATGGGGTAAACTCTCAGTAAAAGTACCTGTTCTGTTTTGCTACTACTCCGTTTAAATTGGAAAAAGTAACATTCCTATGGATTGGTAGGATAAAGAATTGGTCTAAGAACCCTTGCCTGATTTAGATGCCTCCAATCACACTCCAGCAAACAATATGCACAAGAGCTGTTAACACCACAGAAATAAGAGCGGGAGATTGGGAGTCAATGCCCTGACAACACCAGTTCAGCCACGATGAGACTGATTCCTCTGGGATCAGTGGTTTGATGTTATTGTTGTTGCTGCTGCTGTTGCTGTCATTTACACGAGCTTATGCAATTCCACTCTTGATCCCCTTCGGGCAGAGCCACTCTGTATTGGGTGTCTGTCACTTCATTAAAACAATTTGTTAGACCCGGCGTGGTATCCTAGTGGCTAAAGTCCTTGCCTTGCATGTGCCAGGATCCCATATGGGTGCCAGTTCTTTTTGTGACAGCCCCACTTCCCATCCAGCTCCCTGCTTGTGGCCTTGAAAAGCAGCCGAGAGTGACCCAAAGCCTTGGGACCCTGCACCGACATGGGAGACCTGGAAGAAGCTCCTGGCTTCAGATTGACTTAGTTCTGGAACACCTATAAATTGAGGCCACTTGGAGAGTGAATCCTCAGATGGAAGATTTTCCACTCTGTCTCTCTTATCTGTATATCTGACTTCCCAATAAAAATAAATAAACAATTTTTTTAAAAAGATTTGTCTGGGCCCGGCGCAGTGGCGCAGTAGTTAAGGTCCTCGCCTTGCACGCCTGGGATCCCATATGGGCGCCGGTTCTAATCCTGGCGGCCCACTTCCCATCCAGCTCCCCGCTTGTGGCCTGGGAAAGCAGTCAAGGACGGCCCAAGGCTTTGGGACCCTGCACCCGCGTGGGAGACCCAGAAGAGGCTCCTGGCTTCAGATCGGCATAGCATCCACTGTTGCGGCTCACTTGGGGAGTGAATCATCGGACGGAAGATCTTCCTCTCTGTCTCTCCTCTCTGTATATCCGCCTTTCCAATAAAAATAAAATAAATCTTAAAAAAAAAAGATTTGTCAGGCTTTGAAAAAAGGAAAATGAGATTACTTGGAATCAGCATGGGTTAATGATAATAATTAAAAAATAAAAACAGGTCATGCCAGACTATCCTCTTTCTGTTACTCAAAGTCCTCTGTATCCATAGATCAAAGGAAAGCTGTAATCCAGTGGATCTGGACAAGCAAGGTGTTGTCAGCACCCTTGTGACATCTTACAAATATGGAACAGGATGTGGTGCTAGAGACTGGGGCCAAGGCAATAGAATAGAACCAGGCACTGAAAAGTGGTAAAACTACTAAGCTCAGGGTTCTGAGCAGGGTCAACCTGCAGGCTCTATCCTGTTTTGTTAAGGAAAGCCATAAGTCCTTGGTGAATTTTCACCTGTAAGTCATATATAGATAGATAGATATAGATAGATAGATAGATAGATAGATAGATATATGACATATATCTATATCTTCCAGTTCCTCTTCCTCCAGATCAACACTTGATGTGATTATTGTTTTTATTTTAGCCTAATGGTCATGAAGTAATACCTTACTACAGATTGAAATTGCATTCCTTTGATGTTTAATGCTTTCAAATATCTTTTCAAGTGCTCACTTGCCATTTATACTTTTTTCTTTAGAAAAAAAAACTAAAATTTTTGTTTAAATTAGTAAAATGCTCTTGCTCACTACTAACCCGATCCACTGAAGTAATCAGAGGTTTCATAAGAATCAATAGGAAGGGTCCAGCATGGTAGCCTAGTAGCTAAAGTTCCCGCCTTGCATGTGCTGGGATTCTTTATGGGCACCAGTTCATATCCCGGTTGGATTCTCCACTTCCCTTCCAGCTCCATGTTGTAGCCTGAGAAAGCAGTCGAAGATGATCCAAAGCCTTGGGACTCTGTACCCTGAAGAAACTCTTGGCTCCTGGCTTTGGATCAGCTCAGCTCCGGCCACGGCGGACACTTGGGGAATAAACCAGGGGATGGAAGATCTTTCTCTCTGTCTCTCTTTCTGTGGATCTCACTTTCTAATAAAAAATAAATACATCTTTTGTAAAAATCACCAGGAGAACTTATTAAGCATGCAAGTCCTTGCTTCCACTCTAGAAGTTCTTGATGCATTAGGTCAGGTATGAGACATTTTAACAGCGTCCGAGGTGATTCTGAGGCAAGCAGTCTGTAAATCATTTCTTGAGGATCTCTGCTTTTAACCTTGCCTTACTGAGGAATAGAGGGAGCAGGTCTGCCTTCAGGTAAGAAAGTCCTTGCCTGAAATAGTAAGCCTGTTTGCTCTAAGTCATCCAATGGAGCACCCACCTATAGTTCAGAAAAAGCACTTTAAAAAAAAAAAAAAAAAAAAAAAAAACCTTACTTACTTACTTGGAAGTTACAGAAAGGAAGAGCTCCAGATGTCTCCCACCTGTTGGTTCTTTCCCTCAAATGGCCGCAGTGGCCAGGACTGAGCCAAGTGGAAACCAGAAACCTGGAATTCCATTTGGATCTCCCGTGTGGGTAGCTGGGACCTGGTACCTGGACCATCCTCTGTTAACTTCCTGGGCACACTAGCTGATAGACAGATCAGAAGTAGACAGCTAGGACTTGAAACAATGCTCGTATGGGATGCCAGTGTCACAGACAGTGGCTTAACTCACTGTGCCACAATACCAGTGCCAGGAAAATATTCTGATATTTTAGAAACTATTGTGAAACAAAATCAGGCCACTGAGGGGATGGTGTTGTGGCCCAGCACATTACGCCACTGTCGCAATGCTGGTATTCTAAACTGGAGTACCAGTTCCAGTTCTGGCTGTTCTGTTCCTATCCAGCTGCTTGCTAATATGCCTGGGAAGGCAGCAAAAGATGGCCCAAGTGCTTGGGCACCTGCCACCGATGCTGCATGCAGATGGAGTTTCTAAACTTCAACCAGTTCTGGCTGTTGCAATCACTTGAGGAGTGAATCAGATGGAATGTCTCCTTCCCTTCCCTCCTTGTCTCTCCTCTCTTCTCCATCTAGTTTTTTTCTCTCTGCCTTTCAAAATAAACTTAAAAAAAAATCACTGAGGTTACTGAGCCAGACTGTTTGTAGATAAAGGGTTTTTCTGGGTTGAGAAAATACTGGCTGAAGAGAAAAAGTAATGTGGCCAGAGGACAAGGGCCATCTCAGGCATACCACATTGTCTCTCACAGTCTCGCCTCAAGGAAAAGCTCCCCTCCTTATGTACATGGAGAAAAATGTTACCACCAGACAGGTGGTGTGTGTCTTCACCCAAATTAAATAGCAACTGTTTACCCTTAGCCATATTTCCCTGGCTCTATTTACAAGGCTAAAAATGTAGAGAAAGGAGACGGTACAGTAATTTTTTTTTTTTTAAGAGCAGTTGTTTTTTAAACAAGTGGCTCTGCCCAGGCCCTATCCTCACAATTTTGGATCCAGCAAAACTCCTAAGATTGTCAATAAACAAGCACAAGGCTTTGGACAACCAAGCTTGATAAATGCCATTCTACTTCTGTTACAGCACCCAAAGACAGGCTCCCCGTTCATCAGTTCAATGAAAAGCCATTTATTTGATCTTGGGCAGAATCAGTCAAGGCACTGTTTACCACAGTCATCTGCTGATTCAAGGAGGATGTGAGCCAGCCGCGGGCAACTCCCGCACACTAGCAGAAACTCATTGCTGGGCAAGACTGGGTGTTATCCAGGTCCCGGCATATGCCCTCTTTCTCTAGTTTTGAAACAAATCAGGTGGATGCACACTGGCTGCATTTGACAGAAGGGAGGAGGTCCCATAAATAGTCTTTGTTAGGATATCCATTCGTTTTTACTTTCAGGACCTAACTCTGGGTCAACTAGTGGGTGTTGTGCTTCACTGCACCCTTGGTTAGGGTAAGATCACCAAGGAATGTATGCATTGTGTTTGATAAGTCAAAATAAGGTTGACTTTAAATAATCCTGTTTAGGATTTAACATTATTTTATTTTGGATATAGTCTACTTCTCTCCAGATCCTCCCTTGCCCCTAAATAGCACAGCTGTGATTCACTGGGTTAGGGGGAGCAGCACCTTCACAAAGCACCTACAACTACTAGGCACCAGGCCCTGGACCTTGGGTCACTTCGACATCTGACAGTTATCCTGGAGGACAAAGACCGTAGTTTGGCAGCAGGGAGCAGCCCCCTGCTCTTCTCTCCTCATTCCCACCTCCCCAGATATAGGAGAAAAGGAAACATATTGGAAACATTTGTCCCACTCTCCTTCCTCCATACCTCAATCCTCTCTACCCTAATCAGTGACCCACATGGGCATATATCCTTGTCAACTACATAGATAACATTTAAAATAATAAATATTTTTTTAAACAGGCCTTTTTATTTCCAGTTTGCCAGAAAACTGGAACGTAAAAAGGTTGAAATGCATGTCCACAGGCACACAGCCAGCAGCTGTTCCGGACACTACACTATAGCAGCTACTTGTCCACCAGCTGCTCTTCTTAAAGAAGCAAAGAAACAGCTTTGAAAGAGTCCAATGTCGGCCTAGTCATTCTTCCCAGCAGGCTTCCAGTCGATTCTGAGACTGGGGAAAGGCTAATAGTGAACCCTTCCACCGGAGGAATGGACACAGCCTTCTCCCAGGTCCCTGACCTCAAGAAGGTTCCGACCCACTGCCTGGGCAGGCTGCCAGCTTCCCCGTTCTCCTCCAAGTTTCTGGACCACAGGAGCCTGATCTGGCCACTCCCAGCGCCAGCTCTACCCTCCTCCCCACCGTGCCTTTCTGAGAGTCTTTAGACAAGTCACTGTTACCTTCGGGATAGCAGCTTTCTGTTCTCTCTACCCCAGCCTTGATTGTTCACGCCTCATTCAATTTTCCTGGGAAGGAGTCGTCACCATCGCTTATATTCTCCCATTTTCTTCACCATTGCTTATATTTATATTTGTATACAGCTTCTCATTTTTAAAAGCCTCCCCGAATCCTACATGGAAGCAGAGATAAACAGTAATTACTTTGTTGTAGCTCAGCTAACCTCCATGGACCTCAGCTTCTCACCTGTGAAAACGACTTGGTTGGGTTCCATAGATCAGGCAACCTACAGAAACTCCGCAGCAGTCCGGCACCCGGCAGGTAGCGACATTCCGCCTTCTTTCCCACCTGCCCAGCAGCTGTTTCCCCGCACTCGTCCCGGTCGGCTCCGGGCCGGCCCTGGTGCACTCACCGCGCACGCGTGCCAGGTGCTTGCGCGCCAGCGCTCAGGGCTCGGCCCAGCGGAGAACTGCGTAGCCAGCTCCTGGCACCCGCGCGCCCCGGGCCGCGGTGCTCACCCCTCTGCGAGCGTGCATGAGTGCGCGCCGCGAAGGAGCGGCTGGCCTCCAGGCTTTGTTGATGGTGGTTCTGCAGCAGGGTGGTTTTTTCGCTCGCTGATCGGCCGCAGCTGGTGGCCCTTGAGGCGTTCCTCTGGCCTTTAGCCAATTCGTGGCTGTGCGGGCGGGGTTAGCGCCGCGCCCCAGGATACTACCCTCTCGCCTCGTTGTGAAGCCGCCCTCTTTTCGCATCGCCTCATCACCCCGAAAACAGGGATCGACATTCATGCCACTCTGTGGAACGCTGGCCCTAGGATCACTGGGTATCAGTGCTCCTGGCAGAATCGCCAGGAGACAGGGCTGGGCTCTCATTTGGCTCTGGGTCGGCTGCCTGGGACCCCTCGTGTCTTATCCCAGCTCTGCCTCAGAGATGGGAAAGGCGATTCCCTGAACGGTCTTAACAAATCTGCCAGTATCCTCTTGTAGCGCAGGAAAGTGTTGGGCCATCTTCTGCCCCGTGATCCCCACGCTGTTGTGGGTACTGAGAACCCAGCAATCAGCACCAAACAGGTGCCGCCCTCATGGGTTCCTGTGAATCTGATAAGTGCTATGGAACAATGGAAAATGTCTTATGGGGCAGCCAAATCTTGTTGGTGGAGTCAGGAACGGACAAGCTGAACTCTCCTAATCCTGCCAACTCTAGTTTTTTATTCTTATTCTCACTACTCTGGCTTATTCACAATTTTATGGACTATTGGTCATAACAGTAGTCTTTACTAAGAGCCAGGAACTACGCTAAACATTTCACTTGTGTGTTTTCATTTATCGCATTCACAGCCTTAGGAACTGAAGCTAGAGAGATGAAAATACCCTGCCCATGGTCACACAACTACTAAGTGATGCGACCAGTGTTCGAACTGCCCATGGCCTCAGGGTGCTGCACCACCACTCTACACTCACAAAAATAACCAAGACCAGAACAACCCTGACCTCCAGGGCAACTGGAGGAGAGAAGGGTGGGTTATTTAGGGCCAGTGGAAGAGAGGAGCAAGAAAAGTCAAGAACTTGGGCATTTTTATATTTTATTTTTTATTTACTTGAAAGGTATAAATGGGTCCAGCATGATGGCTCAGTGGCTAAATCCTCACATTGCAAATGTTGGGATCCCATATGGGCACTGGTTTGTGTCCTGGCTGCTCCAGTTTCTATCCAGCTCTCTGTGGCCTGAGAAAGTGGTGGAGGATGGCCCAAAGCCTCTGAACCTTGTACCTGTGTGGGAGGCCTGGGAAAAGCTCCTGGCTTCAGACGGGCTAAGTTCTGGCTATTGCAGCCTCTTGGGAAACGAACCAGTGGATGGAGGAAATCCTTAAAAATAAATAAGTATAGCAAGAGATACCCTGGTCCACTGGCTTACTATCCAAATGTACTCTCACTAGCCAGGGTCAGGCCGAGGCCAGGAGCCTGGCGCTCAGTCCAGGTGGCACCTGTGGATGGCAGGGACACAACTGCTTGAATCACCACCTCTGCCTCCCAGGAAGTGCCGAGCAGGCATGGAGCTGGGTCTCAAACGCAGACACCCCGATGCAGGATGTGCGTGTTCCAAGGATGGCATTATCCTCTGTGCCAAACACTCATGGCAGAGATAGCATTTCAAAAGAGTAGTCCTGTAGATTAGATCTCACCTGTGTGGCCTCAGGGGCCGCCAGGATGGCGAGCACCACGGGGAGACACATTGCCATTCAATATCAAGGAAACACTTTCGTTTAACAATAAGCTTATGTGAAAAAGTGACCGTCAGTTGCCTGGAGTGAGTGGCCTGTCACTGACACTGAAGCAGAGGGGCTTTTAGAACTTTTTAAGGCAGAATCATGTAAAACTTAAAGACTAACTTACGTGATCACCCAGAGTGCATCTGATTCTGATGTTTTATCTGTACTCACCCACTGAGAGAGACACAGTGGATAAGAGGCTTCGCTGGGTCCAAACCAAATCTGGTTGCTCGGTTTTGACTTTCTCATTTTGGAGGGGTGAAGGTCTTGAGCACGCTCAACGCTCTGCTCATGCTGTGTGAACTGTGTCTAGGTGTGTCAGGGTTTCTCTGGTGTGTGCAATCACCTGCTTGGTGTGTTCCGTGTCACCCTGTGACTGTGTGTGCTTCTATCCAGCTTGTGTTGAGTGTTATTGGTTTTCAGATTCAAGTGTCAACTGTCCTTGCCCCCATACTAGGCAACTACTGTACTTTTTTTTTTAATTAAAGATTTATTTATTTTTACTGTAAAGTCAGATATACAGAGAGGAGGAGAGACAGAGAGGAAGGAAGATCTTCCGTCCGATGATTCACTCCGCAAGTGAGCGCAACGGCCGATGCTATGCCGATGCCAGGAGCCAGAAACCTCCTCCAGGTCTCCCACACGGGTACAGGGTCCCAAAGCTTTGGGCCGTCCTCGACTGCTTTCCCAGGCCACAAGCAGGGAGCTGGATGGGAAGTGGAGCTGCCGGGATTAGAACCTGCGCCCATATGGGATCCCGGCACGTTCAAGGCGAGGACTTTAGCTGCTAGGCCACGCCGCCGGGCCCATCAACTACTGTACTTTTGAGCCCTCAGTATTAATTGAAATTTTAAGGAAAAGATAGTAAGCTGGAGAATATTTTCCCTGGAAACTGTTCTTTGATTCTATTTTATGATTCTGAGTTATTTTGAGTACAATTTCTGATTCACTAGAACTAATCCCAGCACATGCAAGGCAAGAGCTGTTAGCTGCTAGGCTACTGTGCTGGTCCTAAACTTTATTTTTTAAAAACAATATATTTGGGTCAAGCGTGAGAGCCTAAAGGTAAAATCCTCGCCTTACATGCACCGAGATGCCATATGGGTGCCAGTTCATATCCTAGTTGCTCCACTTCTCATCCAGCTCTCTGCTTGTGGCCCAGGAAAGCAGTGGAAGATGGCCCAAAGCCTTGGGACCCTGCACCTGTGTGGGAGACCTAGAAGAACCTCCTGGCTTCAGATTGGCTCAGCTTTGGCCATTGCAGCCACTTGGGGAGTGAACCAGTGGATGGAAGATCTTTCTCTCTGTATCTCCTTCTCTCTGTAAATCTGTCTTTCCAATGAGAATAAATTTATATATATATATACATTTGCCTAATTTAAAATTTAAAATATATACCATCAGGGTTATGGCTTACTCATTTTGGAATCCTTCTTGGGGCCTGGCAAAACGTCTTGTATATATTTGCTGAGTAAGTGTATGTTGAATGCATAGAGTGGGTATGAACCAAGACATTGTAGGAACAGGCATGATGACACAGAAGGCTGAGTTGCTGCTTGACATCCCATGCAGGAGTGTCTAGTTCAAATCCTGACTGTTTCACTTTCAATCCAACTCCCTACTAAAACATGTTGGAGACAGCCAAAATAGTTCAAGAACTTGTGAGTCCCTGCAACTGAGGGAGACTCAGAATTTCTGGTTCATGGCTTCAACCAGACCCAGCCCTAGCTATTGTGGGCATTTAAGGAATGAACCAGCGGTTGGACTATTTCTGCAGGCTCACTTCTCAAATGGCCATAACTGCCAGAGTTGAGCCAGTCCAAGGCCAAGAACCAAGAGAATCTTCCAGGTATCCCATGTGGGTGCAGGGGTCCAAGAACTGTGGCCATCTTCTGCTGCTTTTCTCGGCACATTTGCAGGGAGCTGGGTGGGACGTGGAGCAGCCAAGACTCTCTTTTTTTAAGATTTATTTTTATTAAAAAGTTAGATTTCCAGAGAGAAGGAAATGCAGAGAGAAAGTTCTTCTGTCCACTGGTTCACTCCCCAAGTGGCCGCAACTACCAGAGCTGAACCAATCTGAAACCAGGAGCCAGGAGCTTCTTCCAGGTCTCTCACGTGAATACAGGGTCCCAAAGCTTTCAGCTGTCTTAAACTGTTTTCCCAGGCCACAAGCAGGAAACTAGATGAGAAATGGGGCAGCTGGAACACAAACTGGCACCTAAATGGGATCCCAGCGCATGCAAGGAGAAGACTTTAGCTGCTAGGCTATGGCACTGGACCCTGGCTACCTCTTTTAAAGTCTTAGTCACACCTGCTTTTTTTTCTAAAGAAAAATTTATTTATTTGTATTTGATAGGCAGATTTACAGACAAGAAGAAGAGTCAGAGTTTTCATCTATTGCTTCACTCCCCAAGTGGCCGCCAAGGCCAGAGATGAACTGATCCAAAGCCTGGAATCTGGAGCTTCTTGTGGCTCACCCCCTTGAGTTCACCTCCTTGGGCCATCCTCTACTGCCTTCCCTGGCCATTCATAAGTAAAGAGCTGGATGGGAAGTGTAGCAGCCAGGACATGAACCAGCACCCATCATGGGATTAGCCTCTAAACCACCATGTTGGCCCCATTCATAGCTATTTTTAGTCAGTTTTGTGAAGCATACTATGTTAATTTCAAAAATAATAATAAAAATAGGTGCTACTTACTTAGGGCCTAATACATGTAACATTTTGTTGATTATTTCTACCATCTTACATGTTAGACACCATTGCATTTCAGATATGACAAAATTGAGGCTCTGAGATGAAATAATCTACATCAAAATGACTTAGGTAACTGGGGGTGAAGCCGAGTGCACTGGCACACCGCACTGTCTTGTAGCTGGTTATTTTCTCCAGAAATTCCCATAATCCTTTAAAAAAAAATCCACTAAATCTGGAATGTAGGCTTTAAAAACTATTCTTTTGTCTCCCAAGACATAAGATTACCAGAAATCACTGGCTGCTATGTCTTTAACCTAATTAAATTTTTATCAGATAATATGCTTAGTAATTTCAACTGTCTGCTTTACTGAGGCCATATTATATGCCAGGCCCTCCGCTAGATGGCCCTAAAATGGTAAGTATCACCATTTTCTTTTTACAAATAAAAACCATGAAATTGAGACATTTTTAGAAACTTGCCAGGGTCTCACAGCTGGGAAGTGACAGAACTGGGAGTGGTTGTCAGTAGTATAACTTCAAAGCCAGCATTTCTTCCAGCATGTCATGCCCCCTCTGGACCCATTTTATAATTTGTATCTATAAAATACCTCTAGGATCTCTTCGTTGCTCCTGAGGGCTTT